TAAGAGGTGAGAGAAATCCAAGGCCTGGAAGGACTGTCTTAAGAACCACGCATTGGGTGGATTGAGATCTGACTGATCCCGAGGTCCACGTTCTTTCTCCTCCATCATATCAGCTTCATTTCAGGCAGCTGTTACCCTCTATGCAAATAAACAGTCTCTTTGCCACGATCGCCTTCCCATCTCTCTCTTCTTCCTTTGGCGCCAGGCTTTATTCACTTGTTCACGCAGAACTCCCTTAATCTTTTTTCTCATCGCAGTGCAGCATAATTTGGCCCCACTGTAACTCTTTCATCAGCATCATTTGAGCATCTGCTATTACACCAGGCAGTGCACTAGACGCCAGTGAAACAATCCTCATCTGAGGGCAGCTAGTAGTTTGAGACAGATGACTAGTTCCGGTGCATTGGACTAAGTGCCTAGTAATTAAATCTAGTGGTCTCTTTTTAGACCTTATCTTATTTTAGCTCTCTTGTATCATTTTTCCCAAAGGACAAACATCTCTCTTAAGGAAAACTTCTCTGTTTCTTTCTTCTGTGGCATTCTTCATTCCTGGTTTTCTTTGCTCGTCTTAGTCTATTTTGAATCTCTCTTCTTTTTCTGCCCATGTTCTCATTTTAAATGTCTTTCCAGGTGCTTAGATCTCTCCATTTAGATGTTATACAGACATTCAGGATCGCTCTTTCCTTCCCCAAGAAAATGACGCTTAACTATTTGCCCATGTTAAATATTCAGTAACGTGGAGTCCTGGTCAGTTCCAGCCTTCCTCTCGCAAAAAGACTCACTCATTCTGCTTCAAAAATGACATTCATAATTTGACCAAGTCGCCAGTCCCTCTGCCATCGGCTAATGTATAGCGATAACTTCCATCTCCCTCTCTGTCCGTAGTGCAGCTTATATGCTTTAATTATAGTAATCATTTTTTTAAAATTCTCATGGTATTATTACTTTACTCCTCAAAATCTTTTAATGTCTTTTCTGCTGCCTGTCAGGTCAGCTCTCATTTCCATAGCCTGGCTCCCAAAGCTACTTACCATCTGCTCTTGATCGACTTTTCTGGTCTTCTGTCCTGTATAGCTACAGCGCTTAGCACATAGTGGGCACTCACTGAATACTGGATGGGTAAGTGGGTGGAGCGTAAAAATGTGACTTTCTTTCTCCCAAGGGCAGTATTAAATTCCCATTATGGAAGTATGATGTCTGCTAAGTTTACTTCTCAGTAGTTTCTATCAGTTTTAAATTATAATGGTGTAAAGATGGATAATCTATAAGCTGTTTAAAAAAAAATTCATTAACCCAGTGTCTTTGCTAAATTGTATTGCCCCAGAGTTCATACGTTTAAGTCCTAATCCCCAGTACCTCAGGATGTGACGGCCTTTGGGGATAGGGCTTTTAAAGAGGTCATTAAGCATAAATGAAGTCATTGGAATGAATCCTAATCCAATATGACTGGTGTCCTTATAAGAAGAGAGAATTTGGACACAGACACGTACAGAAGGAAGACCATGTGCTGACACAGGTAGCAGACGACCATCTCCGAGCCAAAGAGGTAGGCCTCAGAAGAAGCCAATGCTTCTATCACCTTGGTCTCAGACTTTTAACCTCCAGATCTGTAAGAGAAGTATTTCATTTGTTTTAGCCACCCAGTCTGTGGTACTTTTTTCATGACAGCCTTAGCAAACTAATACACCCTGTGCTTTTTTATTCACTGAGGTTTTAAGTCCCGTATTTAGGGATTTTATCCTTAGGAAAGGGGTGGACTAGAATCTAATGGATTCTATCCTCCCATCTCAAAATTCTTTGGGGTGTTTTAAATTCGTCCTAGGAAAAGAGGGCCATTTTTCCCTTTTTCAGACCAGGGAAATAAACAGTCTCTTTGCCCCAATCAGCTACACAACGGATGGCTATTTTCCTTTCCCTTTTGGGATTATGTTTCTCCTTCTCTTGAAGATAGAAACAGAGCAAGAAACCATTAAAAATATAGTTAATCCCCACTTACTGCATTGATTTAAACAAATACTGAATTCGATGTTTTCCAGACTCTCATTTTGATAGCTGGGGTACAGTAAGTTCTCTTTGCAAAGGATAGTTATGCCAATCGCAGCATCAGATTTCCAGAAGCCGTGAATTTATATGCTTTATAGCAGTTCTCTTGAGGCTGTGGGGCATAAAAGTACTCTGAATCACTAAATTTGGTTGATTCAGGTATCCTAGTCATATTTCAAGTCGCCATGTTGTGAACCTCAGAATGTCTGTTCCCGCCATTCCCCACTCCCCATCCCATTCTGTCTAACTCCTCGGCGGTAGTTGTATTTGAACTAGGGAAACTTAGTGTGTTGAGTGAGTGAGAGACTTCATTGGAAAAGAATATTTGCATTTACTGACCATCTGCTCAGATCAGATCTTTTTCTGATTGTCCCAGATGTAATAATGATTTCATACTCCTTAAAGACCTCGGGCAAGTTCATCTGTAGGCCTGCCTGTAATGTTACCATTAACATCTCGGGCAGACGTGAGTAGTCGATTTTATTTTATAAATCCGGAGACTATAATTCTTTTCTAAGAACTCATAATTTATTTTCCGTATCTGTTCTGAACTCTTCGTGCTACCATCTTGAATTTGTTTCATCTTGTTCTGTCCCATGTAGAGGTAGAGGATAGCTAGTCACCATGAATAATAGCTCTTATTCTTGAGACATAAGGCCTTGTTAAATTGCCTTTCTACCTTCTTTTTTTTCCCTTTGTTTCAAACTGAGCTTTATTGGTTCTTTAGCCTTACAGGGCTTATTTTAAATTTTTAATTGTGTATAAGACTTGGCATTAAAGCCTTTCCATTTTTCACAACTCTCTTTGATGATAGATCCAGCGCTTTCATCAGTATAGTGAGAACACAGTCAGTTTCTTCACTCTAATATAAATATAAATTTAGGCATGCTGGTTTTATGCTTAATTTTCACTTTCGATTTAGCTAGTTAAAATGCATAACAATTAAGCAAAAGATTATATAATTCTTATCTCCATGACAAAGGGTAATCTAAGCATATCAATTAATATGCTTTGCTATGCGTTGATACTCAAATTCAGAGAGATCAGAATTATATCCCACTGACCAGAAACAAAAACAAGAATTTTTTATATCTATCTTATAGTCTTAGCATTTCCTCTAACTGGATGATCATAGATAAGTCATTTAACTTTTTTCTATATCATTTTATTTACGAAACTGGAGAAGATAGATATCAAGACTAGATGATCACTAAGTTGTCTTCCAGCTTAGAAATTGTATTATGTGCTCTACTAATAACAGTTGATAAATTATGAGTTTTAGTGGGTAAGTATATTTGGAGCAAATAACATTAATTTTTTTGAAATACATTGAGTACATATATATTGAGTGCTACTTTCTATGTACGCGGTGCTGGTAACACAGTGATAAATCAGACATCTTTCAGAGTTTACATTTTATTAGGTGAAAGAAACATAAAAAGTGCAATTGAGTATTACTGGGCTTTTGGAAGAAGTCTCTCTAAGACATATTGGGGCATATGGGAGACTTTGGTGAATTTTGCTTAGTGGCAGAAGCATCAGGAAGAGGCCAGTGATTCAAGGGACCCACTGTGAAGGCCTGAAGATGTGCAGTTGCACTGAAGTGGAAGAGCCAGCAGCTTGATTGTATTGGCTGAGGACTGAGGATGAGGAAGTAGAAACAGTGGGTATAGATGACTTTTTTCCCCAAGGGGCTGGACTATAAGGAAGAAAATACCTGAAGGGAGTGGGCAGAGATTAAAGAGATCGGTTCTTAAATATGGGAGTAAAGAGCCAAATTAAATATTTTGGGGAAAAGAGCTTAGAGCGAGGGAAAGCTTGTTCTGAAGGCGATGAAGATGGAATTAAGAACAAACTTAAATACAAGGTTTAGGATAGATGGAGGGAAAGATAGATGAATAGATACATGATAAAGCAGACATAGCAAAATGTTAATCCTGGCATCTAGGAGGTGGATGAATAGTAAAATACAATTCTTAACATTTTCTGCATGTTTGAAAATTTTATAATAAAATATTGGGAGGAGGAACATAGATCAAGAGTTTAGCTTTGAACAGAATAGAGGGCACTTATTCCTTGCTGTGGTAGCAGATGGTGACGTTCAAGGTTAAAGTCTCAACTTCTTTTGTAAAGTCGAAGCCACTCGTAACCTGCTGAGGCAGAGGGGAGAGCTGAGGAGTGATAAGAATGAAGGATGGAATAACCACGTGGGGAAGAGGAGAAGGGTCTGAGCAGACCTGGGTTCAAGGAAGAAGTAGTGGTGGTGAAGTGAAGGACCCAGGAGTTTAGCTGGTATGACGTTTTCCTCCAGTAGTTGTCAGGAGACAGCAAGTTGCTAGGGCACTGAAGGGGCAGTTTGAGAAAGCGATGAGCGGATGGGGTGAATGATTCCCTCCCTCCATTATTCACCAGCAGCCAGTTCTGGAACAAGTCCCATCCTCTTTGGCTCTCTGTTGGGAGGATTCTGTTTTCTACCTCATTATATATTTATTTGCATGAAACGAGATAAAAATAATGTTACGCAACTGTGTTATTTAACTATTAAACATTTAACTAATATAGTTTTATTATTATCTTCCTCAGGTAAAAGAGGAACGTCCAGAAAAAATACCAGATCTGAAATTATTAGTGGAGAAGAAATTTTTGGCTTTACAGAATAAGAATTCCGATGCAGACTTTCAAAATAATGAAAAATTTGTACAATTTAAACAACAGCTGAAAGAACTAAAGAAGCAATGTAAGTCAGCATGCTTTGCTTTGCTTTGCTTTGCTTTGGCTTTTTGAAATGAGGGAGCCGACTTGAACAGTCCCAGGGAGTTGGTGATGTAAAGTGTGCTTATCTGCTTGGCTTGATCCTCTTTCTAAATGGCTTTTTGATTGTTGTTGCAATTCTGTGTTTTGTCTAACCTTTGGTTCACATCAGCCTGTTTGTTTCTGAAAGCCAACAGTTTCCACAAAGTGCTGAGAAAATTCCCCACCAACTACAGGAATTTACACTGTGTTGTCCTTCTGCCGAGGAGGGGAATTGGGAAAATAAAAGAAAACTGAAAATGATTTTATTAAAATAAAAATTTTAAACTGCTGTGCCAAGCTTTAAAATGACCATATTTTGATTCTGGTTTTGTTGCTTTGGAATAGCAGGAACAGTGTTTTCTCAGACTATTTTTTTCCTCCCTCTCAGATATGGATCAGAATTCTATAAATCCCTTCTTTTTTTTTCAATTACCGTTGATGTTCAGTATTATTTTATATTAGTTTCAGGTTTACAGCATAGTTGGTTAGACATTTATATCGTTTACGAATCCCTTCGATATTTGTTGTAGTATAAATTACATATGATTTTGAAATTTTGCCTTCCTCATCAACTTTATTATACTCAGGTTTCTTAATTAACATAATTTTGATTTAAAAATGAGAGTAGGGAAAATGATTAATTTTACAAAAAGAATTTTGTAGACAGTATTGGCCGGAAATAATGTATCTTTTCTACACAGCGAAGTACACGTTTTTTAAATTTTTTCATGTAGTTCACATAACATTTATGTAATTTGATTCTTTTACCTTCATATCAATTGCCATTCTTTTTTTTCAACTCAAGGTTCTTTTATTGCTTAAAGAATTAAATAATGAAGCAGATAACTTTTTTTTTAACTTAAGTTTCACATCACTTTCATTTGAATACATGTGGAACAGGAGGAATGTTGCATGATATGAGATGCAAATTTATTTTATGTCCTTATTTGTACTTGGTATAGAGATTCATATTTTGAAATAGGCTTTATTTTAAATATAAGCATTTTCTTTGAATTGATGCTGAGATCTCAAAAATAACTGAGGAAGCTGCTTTATTTCTGTCTATTTTACAAATTAAGTTTCACAATTTGGAATGTTTTGCAATCATGGTGAGACTTTTGCTTTTACTGTAGATTTAAACACTAAGCACTTTCTCCACATTTTAAGTCTATTTTCTGTTCTTCATCGAACATCACAGCTGCCAAAATCTTTTCTAATATAATTTTCACTGTTCCCTCAAATGGGTAATAATCCCCCAAACAGGTGATATTTGCTAGTAGTTTTCTGATCTTAAAGATGCTAGTAAATTTCAGTTTTTGGTGTTGGTCAAAGTAGCCAAATGTATTTTATTTGATTACTTGGAGACAGTTAATCACAAACTATAGCACATTTAGCTTCCGACCATAATTCCTGATATTTTAGGTATTTTATAAAACAGATTGAAGGATACATATCCAAAATATAAATTTTTTCTTCCTCCATTATTGTTTATAAAGTTATTATCCTATAAGAGAGAACTGTAAAGATATTTAAAATCATATACTTGTGGGGAAACACTTCCTAATTAATAATATATAATTCAACAAAATGATAAATGTTGGAGATCATAGCTTTTGTTTAGTTGTCTCTAAAATTGTGCGGGTGGGGGCCAGAATTCTCCAGGTCAGCAGTACACATTATTTGGATAGACAGTTAAACGTATGACAAAGTAAACTTACATTGAAAGAAATGCTTCCTTATATAAAGTTTCTCAGTATATGGTAACAGTGGAATTCAAGACAACTTTTCTTTCTTTTTCTCTTAAAATAGTCTTTTAAAAAGATTTTAAATCTTAAATAATAAGCAAAATAGTAATACTGTCTCAAAGATGTGTATCTCTCACTTGCAAAATGTAATTTTTGTGCATTATTATTAGCTCTATCAACTAAACTTGCACCATGACTAGCAGACTTTACTTCCTTAGATTTAATGCAGCTGTGAGGGTGCCGACTAGCACCGGGCTCCCACAGTGTTTGTGGAGGCAGGTTCAAGGGACCGTGACTTATAAAGGAGCCACTGTAATCTGTTTGTTTGAGGTCTGTTCTCATGGAGGCAAAGAATTACAATAATTTTTTTTTTTTAATTGGAAAATATTAGCCAAGGAGAGATACTTGCTTCAAGTTGCCTATTTTGGCAAAGTAAAGGCTGAAGTGTTTTTATGGTCTGCACGTATCTGAAGGGTTCCCACACACGCGCCCCCCCTACCCCCCCTGCCCCCCCATGGGAATAACCATCATGTCTTCACCAGCTATATTATGCAAGAACATAAATTGCCTGAAATTAAATTTTACCAAATCAGGATCTAATCAAAGAAACGTCAGGAAGCTACAGGTTGAAATCAGGTGGTCTATCTGGTGGGCCTGAGGGGGGTCCCCGCCTGCCACCTGGGCACTCTCTGTCGGCAGGAATGAGTCAGCCTGGCTGTGGTCAGCCGCTAGTTCGCAAACTGTCTCCTCTCAAGATCCCTCTACATTCTTAAAATTTACTTAGGGCCTCCAGAGGACTTGCTCCCATGGGTTATAGCTGTTGACATTTATCATATTAGAAATCAACACTTGAGGAATTTAAACAATATTAATCCATTTAAAAATCAATAATAAATCCATGACATGTTAACATAAATAGCGTTATGAAATACAAGAATATATTTTCGAAACGTAAAGAAAAATCAGTGAGAAGAGTGGCATTGTTTTACACTTTCGCCAGTCTTCTCAGCTTCTGCCTTAGTGAAGACGGCTGGCTCTTCGCATTTGCTTCTGTTTTCAGTCTCTTGTAGCACATTGTTTTGTTTGAAGTACACAGAGGAAATCTGGCCTCACACTTAGGAAGTTAGATTTGCTGAAAGGATCTTGCAGACCACCAGAAATTCTCACTTTGAGAACCGCAGATCTAGGCCAGAGTCACTAAACTCTGTCCTGTGAGCCAAATTCAGTCTGCCTCTTCTTTTTCTATGGCCTGCAAGTTAAGAATGGCTTTTATAATTTTTAATCGTTTGGGGGGGAAAAAGATCAAGAGAAGAGCAATCTTCTGCAACATGTGAAAATTATATAAAATTCAGATTTCAGAGTCTATAAAGTTATATTGGATGTTAGACATGCTTTTTCATTTGCATATTGTCAGTAGGTGTTTACGCTGCAATGGCAGAGTTGAGTGCTGCATCAGAGACCATCTGACCCACAAAGCTTATAGCACTTGTTATCTGGCTCTTTACAGAAAAAGTTTACTAACCTCCTGGTCCAAACCATAATCAGAAACAAGGGCAGTTTTTTTGTTTTTTGTTTTTTAACTTCAGTTTCTTTTTTCTATTGGTCCAAACCATAATCAGAAACAAGGGCAGTTTTTTGTTTTTTGTTTTTTGTTTTTTAACTTGAGTTTCTTTGAAAAAGTTTACTAACCTCCTGGTCCAAACCATAATCAGAAACAAGGGCAGTTTTTTTGTTTTTTGTTTTTTAACTTCAGTTTCTTTTTTCTATTTTTTTTCCTTCCTTTCTTTCTTTCTTTCTTTCTTTCTTTCTTTCTTTCTTTCTTTCTTTCTTTCTTTCTTTCTTTCTTTTTTTTTTACTAAGTCTCATACATTCGTCTCAGGTATATTCAGAACACTTTGAGTGCCTACTGTGTATGAATCATTACAGTTGGTGATCTGAGATAAATAAAAGGCAGAGTCCCGGTACTTGGAGAATACAATATATACAAACATGAAATAACGTGAGAACCATTACTAACAAATGTGAACTCTAAAGCAAAGAATGTTAGAAACAAATACTCTACAACGCGGGACCTAAACGAAGAGTCAGAATAGGAATGCAGATTTCATACGGGTGACAAATATTCCCCGTCAATGAACAGGGGCTGCCTGGAGCTATATGTTCAAGAAAGTTCTGAGGTTGGGTCCAGGCCCAGCAGCAGAGAGTGTGCCGAAGGATTGTGGGGGGAAGGAGGCAGTATGGTAGAACTTAATGAGAATGTGCAGACACCTCCGTATAGACACTTTCTCAAGTCATCAAGCAGTCTTTCTGATGTGCTTTATTCATTTGCCTGTTATCTCATTAGCAGGCTTCAAAAGTTTTAGTGCAGGTTAGCAAGGCAGAAATTGAGAGCATTAGACAAGAATTGATTCTTAGAAACCTTCAGAACATAAGGGCTTCGCTTCATGGTCAAAAATAGGATTGACTGAATCTGAGATCTTCAGTGTTGAGATAATCTAATATACAATGTAATTCTGTTGATACAGTTAAATGTTAAGCATAAAGGAGAGCATGTCTTTTTAAGTGCAAGTTTGCTAATCTGAAGGTATTCATCACAGATGTAACAGTATATTTAGGTCAGATGTGAAATATGCAGAAAATGAGATGGAGATATTTGTCACTGAAACTTAGAAATAAGGTTCAGTGACAATGATATATGTATTCGAGATATGTATGTATGAATTTACACTGTAATCTTATAATTATATGGAGTCACAAAATAACTGTGTACCTTTCCTTTAAGCATGCTCAGTCTAGATCTCAAAACTGAAAATAAGGAGTGGCCATTCACGTCGCTCACATTGAATAGGGAATTCCATGGGAACATTAAACACCTTGACTCTACTGTACCTAGTGGGTCGATTTTCCCTTTCATTCAGCATCTGTTTCACACCGCAGTGTAGTTCCACGAGAGCAGGGACTTGCGTTTTGCTTACTGCTGTATTCCTTGAGCTCCTCCAGCATGAGGTCTAGGCATTTGGTATCTATAGCCCAGGTCCTTGATGGTCACCAGAGTCTTCGGAAGAACCTTCAGAGACATGAGATCTTATGCCCTATCCGAAGGAGGCACCAGCTAGCTGTGCTGGTCTGTCGCTGACATGAGTGAGCATGGACCCCGTGTTGCCAGCTTCTTTTGGAAGATTCAGAAATCTTGCAGATT